GGTGTGGTCGTACAACCACGCGGGCCGGGCTGGTCGCCACGTCACCGAACGGGTTGCTTCCTACAAATCCGAGTTGATTCTCAAGAAACGCGTGGTGCCGTGTGTCCCTTGATTCATGCGTGTTCTGTGTTCTTAGCTTCAATTTGAGCGAAGAAGCTGGTGTTTGTTGCGTGTGTTTGCCTCATCATGCCTCATTTGTTCCAGGATTCATCGATCATCGATGCTCGCCTCAACCCAGGGCGGGAAGAGGACAAAGCTCCAATCTCGAGGAATTCGACCTTCTCCGATCCTCAAGAGTATCATCACCTATCTCGTGGCCGGCCTTTTGTGGGCCAGATGCGCAGCGGGAAAACAGCTGCAGACATCTGGAAACTGCATCAACTGTGTGAAGCACAGCTGTCAGGCAGCCTGCTCGTCTCGTCACAGCGCGCTTCTCTCGCGTGCGCGAGAGAACGCTTGAGGAAGTCGAACGCCCGTCGACGCGAAATGAGGAAGTCGAACGATGGGCGAAGCTCTGAGAGTTCAACAAGCGCATCTCTTGTGCGAGCACGCACATGTCGTCCAATAGTCTGATGCCAGTGTATGACATGAGTGTTGCAGTGGATTCTTTGCATGGCATACGTGCACTGCCACGTGTCCTGCCGGGATGAGAGGAGAAGAATTCTTAGGGCAGCAAGGCGGCCGCGGACCTTATGCATGAAGGAAAACGTGGGCTTCCACCGCAGCATCTTCCGAGAAATGGGTGCAGACTACTCAGCGGCTACAGACCAAAACCAGTCCAATTCAGTGCAAACTCGGCTCCAAACGGCTAGGCCAGTCGCAAATTCCGGTCCAGTCGCAAACATTTGCTTGCTCGAAAGACGAGAAAGGCTATGGGCTTATCTGATCTCACGTCTCATGTCTTATTCTTCACTCGAAGTCCGAGTGAACAGAAATGCCGTGGCAGCCTGATGCCGCGGCCAGTGTTCAAAAGCGCATGATGCAGGGTCTCCGCGCGCTGCCCGAGCCTTTGTCATCCCGGGAATGAAGCTTGAAGGTTGGTTGTTTTGCTTGTTGTCTCATCTTGAGATGAGCAACTTGGTGCAGCTTCCCTCTTTTAATGTGAGTCTAAGTCTGGTGCGAGATTGGCGTGTCAGGATTCTACATATATAATATACCGATTATATACTCAAACTTGGCTGCAAACATCTGCAGACCATATATTTATATATACATAACATATCATAACATTACATAATTCAGCGTTAATTAATTTATGTTAATTATACCAGGAACACAAAGGGGTTGTTGTTAGTCCCATCCAGTGAGTGGATAATCGGCACCTACATACTCCCGACCCAACCTTGGACCAGCTACGGTCTCGTTCTGCTCCGGTGTCTGCTCCGCCAGAAGCGGGGTGTTTGCCTTTGCGAAGCCAATGCGCCACCGGAGCTTTTGAGCCAGGCGGGCTGGGTAGTCACAGCCTGGTGGGTGGTCACAGCCTGGTGGGTGGTAACAGCCTGGTGGACTCCAAAGCATCCAAGAACTTGGCCTAGACGAAAAAGCGTGAATGTACGGAGCCAAGTCCTTCTCATGGCTTCGGGTTTGACGGGTTTGCTCCAGTTGTTATACTCTTGAGCCTAGTTGTCCCCATTCTGAAGACCTTGTTTGGGTGGGTGATACATACCTTAAGCCCGGAGCGCCTTACACTTTGACCCAATCACATGGAAGTGGAAATGGCCCGGTCAAACTAATTACTTTGCTCTATGGACAATGGGTTTTCCATGCCGATTAGTGAGTGGGAGTGTAATTTGCCAGTATTTGCCTACTGGGGAACTGTTTGGACCATCCCTTTTCCCACTTTGATGATGGCAACTTTGAAGCAAATCAGGCGGGAAACTGCTTCCAAAGCAATGAGGCTATTGACACTTGCTGACAAAAGGCTGAGGGGGTCATGAACTTGTAATAGGTGAGTGTCACAGGACATGTTTGCAGAGTCCGAATCTGTTTTTGAGGCCTTTGATGAGGCCGAAGTGCTATGGAAGGCTGGGAGCGCTGGCAACAAACTCGACGCGCAAAGGCAAAGGCATCCGTCACAGATTTCGCTGCGGCGTCCAAGGTGTTTCGTCGCACTGTAAGCAACACCAAGCTATTTCAACACACTTGAGAGATTATTTGTATAGTGGGTCCAATCAGTTCTTTTATTAGTGGGTCCAATCATGTCATTTAGTGGTTCCAGTCAGTTCATTTAGTGGGTCCAGTCAGTTAATTTTCCAATTCCCTCATTTGTCGGTTGTCCCGACAAACTCTTGGTCTCGAATGGTCTCGACATGCACCCGTCGATCAGGCTGGTGAATTTGGCCCACCCATGCAGGTGTGCCGCAAACGCCAAGCCAAACGAACCAAACGAAAGGTTGAAAGCAGACGAAGGGTTTTGCTCTATGGCAAGGGAGGTCGGCTTGCCATTGGTTTGGCCGCGAAGTGAACAAAAGTCAGTGACCACGGCCAAACAGATTGAGATTCCCTTTGTTACTCGTCTATGTGTTTGGGTTACCCGAAGTCGCACCTCCTTTCGCCACGTCCACTTGGGCCACCAAGTCAGACAGCCCCTTGGTTGTGGCAAAGGTCCCTGTTATAGAACCACCTTGTGGCGGAATTGGCCAGTTCCGGTGTTGCATGGTGTTGCATAATAGGGTATCTCGGGTGTTGAATATCCACATCCCACAGTGGTAGAGCCCTTCCGGTCAATACAAATCAGAATGATTCGTTCGTTTGTTTTGTTCGGGTCCCTGGGAACGGTTGGGTCCTTTCACGGGAAGACGCAGAGTCGAAAGGCCACCGGCATGGATCGAAGATCGGTGGCCGATGGAGAGCAGCAGATGGAGAAGAAACATGAAGCCGAGTCGGTTCATGATCTGGATCATGGCAGACAGATCATGGAAGAGAGAGATGATGGAGAGTATAACAACTATATAATACGGCGTCCAACCTTTGTTTGCCACTTTTTGCAGTGACCAGTGAGTGCACTACAAAATGAAGTGCCAGGGTTTATAGTTTACTGTTTACTCATTTTACACATACCCTATAGGTTCGACCATCCATTTGGTAGTGCACTTTTGCCTCCCTTTTTTGGTTACTGAAGCGGCTGGCTGAACACAAAAAACATCTTAAATCATCTTAAATCCATGAAGGCATCCGCAAAACCTGAGCCAATCCCTGATGAAGGCCGGAGTCAATCCCTGATGAGCGCTGTCAATCCCTGATGAGCCCGGTTTAGACTTGTGCGCGACATGATGGCGCGACATGATGTTCTCCATTCGGTCTCTCCGTTCGGATTCCCAGTTCGAGGTCTTTGATTCGGATTCCCAGTTCGAGGCGCAGCTCTGGCAGCAGGTGCTGTACCAGGACCGAAGACCATGGATGGCCTATTGGTTGATGATAGATACCCCGACTAGGTCTATTGGTTGGATGCCTATTGCTTGGTTGGTTGGTTGGTTGGTCGACCGTGGATGGCCCATTAGTGAGCAACATGTTATGGCTATACCACGCAGTCGACCAGACAGTTCTCGACACATGGACTCCATGCCTTCGCAGTGTGAGCCAGCACACGCTCCGGCGTTAGCCAGCCATGCTGGTGTGGATGCCACCGTGGCCAAGGTTTTTTGTTCCGAACATGGCTCAATGGTTCAGATTTGTTTCCGGTTCCGCTGGTACTTTTTGGTTGGCAAAGAGTTGCCGTTGATACAGTGATCCCTGCCCATTGCCCAAGTGTAGCTTGCAGATTAAGCAGAAATTGTAAACATTCTCTTGGACAAATTGCGTTTTGCACCAATTGTCGGCCTAGCAGCACACATGCACCAAAGTGGACGGATCCTGTTTCCCTGAATAACACGACTTTTTCAATCTCCATTCACACGGCTGTAATTGGGATGTTCAGCCTGGAAACTGGAGCCGTCCTGCATACCGCTGTTTCAGAGTACCCTTCATTTTGCTTGGCGTTCCCTTGACGGTACTCTTGATGCTTCAGAAAGCAGAACGCCTCAGCCCCTCGGATGCTGCGAAAGAACACCAGGACATCCCATTCGGCGTGATGTCCATTGTGCGTGAACAACCTAAGTGATGCCAGATCAGATCATCAGATCCTCCCATCAGATCCCGGTCCTTTTTGTTTTTCAGAGCGCAGGACGAGCAGAAGGTCTTGTGGATGAGTGAGGAAGCGGCCTCCAGCAAAAGACGGGCGACTGGGCAGAAACAACGCGACTGGGCGTCGGGCGTGGGGAAGAGATGGGAGGAGGATGTCCTGCGACGGCAAGAAGAGGAACATATATATATATATACATATACACTCCCTGGAAGTAACATGGAAGTGGATGGCATGGCCCCTTGGAAGACCATGAAATCCACTACCAACAGGTGGTGCCATCCACTTCCATGTTAATTCCCGGGAGAGTATATGTATATATATATATATCAACCTTCATTGAGGCCCAACTGAAAGGCCCGTGACGGAAGAAGGACTTGTTAGGCGCAAGCCAAAGGGGAAGTGTTGTAGGAGGTAGACGGCAAGTTCTATGCAAATCTCCGGTTGTCCTGCAATCTCTATTGGATAAGCAGGATGCTATTCAATCCTGGCTGCACAGGGCTTGCCAGTGAATCTGCAAAAAGTCTATATACCAGCTTCTTCAAAGTGACCTTTTGAAGGTTCCTAAGTGACCCTTAGGAGGCTTAAGCGACCTCAAACCAGGTTATCAAGTTCGGTCACTTTGAAGAACCAGGTAGTGGATCCTGCCGGTATACCAGAGACTCCAAGAAACTGGACGTTCCGGAAGCGATCGAAGCTTGCAAGACCACGCCAAGCATCACGCTTGGCGCATCACACCCTTCTTCGTTTCAAGAGTCTGAATTCCAAATCACCGCCCTTCCTCACCCCAATCACCCCAGTCACTTGATTCGCCACTCACCATCACATCATTCACCCATAGAAAACCCGATCGCTTCACCCTGCCGATCTGGCCGCTCAGATGGACTCACTGAAGTTGCTCTCGCAGAACATGTTGGAGTTCTCCAGAGGCTTGGGTGACATCCTCGCACAGGACGGGGCTCCCCGTGTCTCCCATCAGGTGCGCAAGGCTGAAGGGGGGGAGGCTTTACTGGTGGTGCGCCAAGCACCCACGAAGGACCATGGTGGTGTGCCACGTAGGAGAACGGTTTGAACTGAAGCCTGTAGGGTCCGGGTCCAGGCCCTAGGCCTTGGGCCTTGCCGCTTGCCGCTTGCAAGGCTGTAAGACTGTGGGAACACTTCTACGTACTTATGGAACTTTGTACATTTGGATGCAGTTCTTCTCACTTGGACTAATTAGACATGACTGAACTTCTATACTTGACACGTTTCCTGCGAATTACGCGCAGGAGACGGGCATCAACTTCTCACACAGCTGGAACGCCATGCTGCTGCGGCCTTAGGGGCGGATGGCAGAGCTTTCGGCTGGTTGTGCCATGGTTTGGGCTCCTTGATCCATTCATGCACTATCATGCAGGCGTTTCTCCAGAAGAAAAGCTGCTGTTTGAAGCGGGCTAGAGGATACTGTACTGAGTACTGTACTGTACCGTACCGCTGTTTGAAGTGGATTTCGTAGAGAGCATAAAATAAGCAAGTGCATGCCAGTGTGTATTGTCATGTCTACTGTACTTGTATATACTTGTATAGTTTTTCTTGGGCTTTGTGGTCATTTCATGCCCCAATTGCAAAATGATGCAACAAATGGCGTGTGTTCTTGGGTTTGTTTTTTTTCATGTCATGTTCCAGGCTTCGGAGTCAAGTCTCAAATGTTTCAAACTATGCTCGGAAATATTGACATGTGACCATTCATGTAGACTGTTGATTTACACAAATTTGAAGAAATCCTCCGCCTGCCACCTGGATGGCAAAACTCCATATGAGAGGTTTTCTGAATCAGTATATCAGTGGGTTTGGAAATGTTTGGAAGGTAGTGAGACCTTTTGTGGATCCACTGCTGTTTGCCCTTTGTTCCATTGACTCACGATGCTGTTGAATGAACTCGATGGGATGATTGATCATGGTCGCAATGCTTTTTTGGGGCTCAAGCTGAAGACTAAGATGAGTTGCACCCCCCGAAGATCAACGTGCGTGTCGGGGCAGCCAACCACGGATCACAACATCACACCATCGGACATCGGCATTGCATGACATCCATCGTCCGGCGCTGACGAACGTCAGAATCATGGGTGTTTACTGTATCAGTCACCAGTTATTTTGTACTTGCTCGAAACCTGTGCAGAGCAGGTAATGTTTCTTCAATACATCTCAAAATGCCTTGCCATTTTGGCTCAAAGGTCTGGGCACTAGTGTGCCTTTGTGAAACATTCTGAGCTTTGTTCCTTCACTTTGACTCTGCGCATTGCCACGGCAACTTTTGACTGAGAACTTCCATCACCCTCTCAGCCTCTGAGGCGGCCACTGAGGAGGCGGCGGTTGGACTTACCGAAAGAACGCGTAGTCAGGAAATCTCACGTAGCGGTGGCAGCGGTGGAAGACCTTGGTCCAAACCCAAGCTAGTCCATCCAGGTCTTCCACCCGGAGGCCCAGAAGGCGGCCCCCATTTGGCCAAGGCCCGGAAGATTGGTGCCGCACTTCCTTCGGTTCCCTCCCGGCCTGGATAAAAATTGCCTTATCCCTCTCATTTCAGGTGAGCAGGACAGCATCTTTGCCATGCTGAGCCGGGCCACATCACACACCAACGATTTTGATGTGCAACTGGTCTGATCCCTAAACCAACGGGGCCGTCAGCTGGCCCCTTCTATTTGGGAACTCCACACAAAGGCGGATGAACTGACACATCTGCACCCACGGGCTTTGACCCGAACGAGGCTTAAGGTCTCCAGCTACCGCCTGACGAGTTGGGTCGGATAACCTTCCTATGGCCCCAAAATCTCCTGGGCAAGGGTGATGAGGGTAGCCGCGGACTACCTCGGGACAGGCAAGGGCCCTGAAACCACAGCCCGGTTTTTTCTGTTCGCCTACCACCTTCCTGAGTGCGAACCTTTTGTGACATCCACGGACCCGTCTCAAGGTGCCTCGTGTCCTGTTTTCTTTCCTTAGTTTTTCGTCTTTGGGGTTGGTGGGCGCTGGTGGAAGAAAGGGCGACTCCCAGCTCCAATCTTATCCAATCTTGTGTTGCCCAGCGGGGGCATCACCAAACTCATGACAAGAAACATACAATAGTAAGCCAAGGTGCTGAAGGGCCTGCTGCGCTTTGCACATCCCCCCTCCTCGAAAATGGAAAAGAGGCTTCAGCAAGCTCACTGAATACAAGTCTGAGCATGGAGATGCCAGGGTGCCCACCAGATTCAAGACTTTTGATGGCTTTCCGCTTGGGCAGTAGATTATAAGACACAGGGAAAGAAAAAAAAAGTGCCAAGATCGTGTGAACCGCCTGAATTCACTTGACCATGCTGGCATGATTGAATATGATGGTCTTGCTTTGAATGTAGCCAAAAATCAAAAAAACAAGGAGCATCGCTTACGCCCCGCGGGCGTAAGCAACGCGACCTTTTGGACGGCAACGCGGTCCCACTGCTCGGAGCTCCCTGAGGGTCCGCATCGCTTACGCCCCGCGGGCGTAAGCAACGCGTCCAGGCAGTGTATTAGGCAACGCGTCCACGCAATGTAAATCAAGGTCTGTTTCTTTGATTTAACGCTCGATGTAACAAGATATACAACCCAACGCTCGCTTGTTTTGCACTTCGAAATACCAGATACCTGGACCCCTATCCAATGCTTTTTTTGTTCTCGACCAGAAAAACAGGACGCAGCCCAAAAGAGACCAAAAAGATGACGCCAAAAGATCAAAAACACAACCCAAGCGATGCAAAATATGATGCAGAAAGTGCAAAACAGGTTGGGTAAGCGCAGGCTGGTGCTATGGACGACACTGAATATCACTGGATCTAGACCGTTGCTAATGCATCATCAGCATCAAAAATGGATCAGTTTTTTCCAACCCGGTACAACTAGGATGCTTCCACGACATTGGTCCACAAGGGTATCACTGTGTTCTATGTTTTTTTTTGGTGGGGGGGCACGTGAGGTTTCCTGACAGATTGAAGCAAAGACCGCTAGCACCAGGGCAGCGTCCACTGGAGTCTCCCAGATCAGAAGGTCTTAGGCACGAGCCATCAAAACTGCCCTGGAACCCTCACATGCTGGCGCTGCCTGATGAGCCTGTCAGCGCAGCTAGTGCTGATGCTGGCACTCAGCCTCGGCGTGGCAGCCGCGTCAGAAAGGCCACGAGTCGGTGTGACGGGCGTGCCGAAGATTGTGGAGGTGTGGTGGTGATCCTGTTGAGCTGGATGGATTTGGGATCAACCGTTCAGGGATTAAAACGATTACTATAGACTTTTCCTCCGAACCAAGCCCAAGTCCACTATTTTGTCCAACCCCTGATAGATTCGTCACCACTTAGGAAGTGAGTCTTGAGGGAGATGATGGGACAGAGACATTTGTAGTTGTCTAAGCCGGACATGTGGGGGATCTAGAAGTGTCACTTCAGAATACTAAGGTGAGGAAGAACAGGTATAGACCCATACGTTTTATATCTACAATAGCAATATATAGAATAGATTTGAGTCGATCTGAGATAGTTATGGTTTTGTTGCTATGCACAGGTTGAATTCGATCACATTGTATATCTGTAGATGGTTCTATGTATATTGTGATGCATTGTGCAGAATCATGCATTCAAAGATCTGACAAAATAAATAGACCATTCGGTCGCCTCTCTCAGGAGGCGGAGCGTCCAGCTGTGAATCTGCAAGTGGCCTTTCAGCGTGCGCAGTTGCTGAGTTGGTTGGCACGACTTCGATACCTGCATTCAGCCTGGAGCTCAGCATGCACGGATATTCGCGCGTGAAATTGGGGTTTCTCAAACGCTGTCACGCTTCGGGTAGCACCCTTCTTCATGGCCTCGGGGAGGAACACCCAGCTGGGTCCGTCCGTCACGACGACACAGGGGCCGACTCTCTGGCCACGTCGACCGACCATGGCAGGTGTGTTGCAACGAGTTTCTCCAGTCTGCCGCTGGGCGGCCGACAGAGCACGGGCGCGCCCGAGGGGACTTACGAAGCGAGTTCTCCTCAGATTCATGATTCATCAAGAAAAACCGGAAGACTGGTAGATAACATCGCTTTCAGGCAGGTGAACGTTTGAGGATGTTTCAAGCAATCATGGATTAATGCGGGCGTTGCATCTTGTTTTTCCATGATCCATATGATAGATATGCTAGTTCATCACATAAAGAAAACGGTCCAAATGTATTCCAAACATTTTGTATCATTTTGTGCTATAATTACTCTTGGGTGCGGGCCCCTCAGACCTGAGAAAAAAAGGTATAAACCTGCCTGGGCGGGGGGGGGCGATCCAAAACGGATGTTGGAACCAAAAGAAAAGGAATGCAGGATTGCCCAGGATTGCCCAAAACCTTCAGAGGCCAAGCTTTGTGTTGTTTTGTTGTCTAAAGAATCTGAGAGCTCAAATAGCAGCCAGCCCCCCACAGCAAGGGCATGCCAAGATCAGAAAATACCGCAGCGAATCAAGGAAGGCCCAGCTGCTCTAGAGACCAACGTTTTAGAACTCTGACTCACTGACAAATTTCTCTCCTTTCCTTTGGAAGACTACTGCAAAAAGCTTTAGCATGCGTTAGCTTTCCTTTCGAAAAGAGAGAACGTTTCAAATTGCATGTCAGTGAATCGGAGTGATCTATTTAGACCCTATATATATAGGCGTCAAATTCGATTGATGGACAAAAAGAAACCGACCGCTGAATGTTCCGCCCGATCCTCCGAGAGCTGTTTCCATCCGTTTTTCCACTCCTTGGGTCCTCCAAACAGGTAAGGACGGGAGGTTTTTTCTACCATGGGTATATAATGCCCCTTTATGTCATTTCCTACCACCTTCCGTTTCGCTCCTTCAGCAGGTTTGCCTCTCCATTTGGTCCTCCAGCTTAGCTGCTCGGACCCCGGACGAGCTCTTGGACCGCTTCCGAAAAGAGCTCGTCTTCGACCACGTGGAGGTGGGCAGATCTGGGGAGGGTGATGGCTCACTCGATGGCGGTGTGGGATGGATGGCGGTATGGTGTTTGGGTGGATCTATAAGGCTAGTAGCAAATAGCTACTGCTAGCGATGGCCTCCACCCTAGTAGCGATGGCCTCCAACCTAGTAGCGATGGCCTCCAACCTACTTGCGATGGCCAGGCTCGAGGAGGAATTAGGAATCCCACATCTTGTCGGGTCTCCAATGGTTCCAAAGAAGAACCCAAGGAGGAATCCAAACCTCAAACTTCAAACCTAGGTGGAAAAGGCCTGCAAAGACCCAAAGACAAAAACAAGTTGGAGTGCACTGGGTTTTTGTGTTGCAAGGTGGGCACAGGCACAA